GGAGTTTGTGATGATACTCATGAAATACGTTGAGTTCAGATGCTGTGAATCGTCAGTCTCCAGCTTTTTGCTTTCCTCCCACTTCTTGTTGTTCCTCCATTGCCCCTCTCTCTCTCACTGATTGCTGTTATTAGTTTAGTCTTCTGTTTGGTGGTGGTGGTGGTGATGGGGTGGGGTGGGGTGGGGGGGTAATAACACAGACTGCTGCCTTTTGTGAACTGACTATCAGTGTGTGTGTGTGTGTGTGTGTGTGTTGTTGCTCCCTGTCATTAAGCATTGAGTCTGTGGTTAAAATAACAAAGCTCTGACTGGTTGAAGCTCTGCCATCCTTACCATCTGATCCCAGATCTTCCTCCAGTAAGCGCTGGTTGGCCCTGTTGGCCTCAGTCCAACACCTGAACGCATCACTTCAGGGCCAGGACCTTGCAGGTTTTCCCTCTCAGGTGGTTTACACTTTTGCACATGGATGTTCACCACCACTGCTTTAGTCCCAATAAAACAGGATTTAAGAGCATCATGTTTTTTTGTGATGTTTCCTGTTGAAACTAACAGTCACTAAAACACTCAACTTCATATTTTAGTGTATGTATATTTTTTTATTGTTTATTTTTATTTTTTTTATATTATTTATAAGGTGTATATTTTTATAAGGTCTCAATGCTTGTCCTCTTAGACCTAGAATATCTATATCTTAATCAATCTTGAAAAGTTGGTCGGTCTTTCTGACTTTGTGCTAAACTGGTTGAAAACACAGGGAAAAAGTTTTGCCAGTCTTGGATATCATGTGTTTCAGAAATACATCATCTGCTGTGGGGTTGCTCAAGACAGGTGCCTTGGCCCATTTTTTTGTAAGTTATATTTTTGCCTTTATTTTTGATAGTATAGTGAGATAGATAGAAAAGCCAGGGAGAGAGACTGAGGGGATGACATGCAGCAAAGGGCTGTTGATCAGATTCAAACCCATGGCCGCTGCGGTTAGGACTAAGTCCAGGTGGTAAGCGCTCTACCAGGTGAGCCACCGAGGTGCCCCTCCTTGTGTAGCGTACATATCTGGCCTGGCATCAGTCACAAGCCATTAAGGAAGTTAATCGCAAGGACATGCTAGTTACAGACTCACAATTGACACTTTGTGACTCTTCCCACCATCAAACTATCAAATTGATCAGAAACAGAGACAAAGGACCCTTCTCCCACAAACAGACCATGCTTTTAGCATGTCAGAGAGACACAGAACCAGACCAAAGGTCAAAGGGTCAGCTCCAGAGGATCAACCAATGGACACCAGGCAACTGGAGAATATAGGCAAAATCTCCAGTTTGTAACAATAAGACTCTGTCTAATAATATTTGATTGTTTCTTATACAGAAAAGTAACATCAAAAGGACTGATTAACACTAAGGTGTGAATCCTGGCCTCTCTGTGCCATGCATGAAAACACACAAACACACACACACACACACACACACACACACACACACACACACACACACACACACACACACACACAGCCTCCCTTCCTCTGTCCCTCTCTAGTAAGAGTCATAAACTGGGGATGCCACCCGACATCCCAGCCTGGGTATGTGACCAGCAGATTCACAGACACAGATCTGAGGAAGAATGTAAAATTAAATATCTAGCTGTTCTGTAACTCATGAGATGTTCCTATGCAATAGTTTAATCCCAAACTTCTATCCCATAGAATGTTTGAAATGTAACATGTAGATTTTAAGACAATGTCCTTCATGTGACCATACTGTCAGCATCCTTCACACGAGGTAACACGCACTACATGACATCCAGCATGTCCATATTATTATTATTACAGTCAAAGAACTGCTGTGTAATCCACATTTATAGACTATTAGCTTTGGGAAATGTTTATATTGTTGTTTGATCAGTTAACCACTTGTATCATGATTAATTCCAGGTTTGAAGGATGTAATATGAAATCAACACTCCTATTACTCCTCTCTGCCATTATTAGTGCAAGTAGTTTCATATGTTATTTCATTTAATGTTTTGTGGTCATGGTGGAAGACGAATGTGCGAGTTTATAAGTAAACTCTAGAATTAAACTGTTCAAAAGTTCCATGGAAAATTACTCTTTTCTCCAAGTGGAAACACAGGAGAAGATGAGTGACGCCCATGAAACATGCGCCAGCCCCCAGGGGATAAAACAGTCGTGATCAATTCACACAAAACTAGATGCTAAGACAAGCAAAAAAGCTAAGACAGTGATCGAGGCTGAAAGGCTGAAGCTAGAAAAACAATGCAGAAACTAGAAGCTAGAACTTTGCTCATAGTTCAGAGTCCCGGCTCAAAGCCCGGCTCTGTAGCCATGTAAACTCTTAGCTCTAAGCTGCTCGCCACAAACTTTCAACTTTCAAATTTCAACAAGAGTAAATTCTAAAATATGGCGTTAACGCTACACTTGGCTCATTATTATTCTCACTGTACATGCTGCCACTTGGTGACATCATCATAGAGCACAATGTGTGTTTCTATAGTTATGTAGATGACACACAACTGTACATCTCTGCTGAACCAAATGATGCTGCAGCTATAATCTCCATCACTACCCGTCTTATAGCAATGAATAAATGGATGAGCAATAAATTCTTAAAATTAAATGAGGACAAAACTGAAACTAGTCAGCCCCAAAACAAAAAGAGAAATGCTGTTCAATAACCTGGGGAAACGACTCCCTGGATTAAATCTGAGGTTACAAGTCTTCGACTTTATCTTGGATTCAAATCTAAGCTTCAAGTCCCACTTTAGTAACATAGTTAAAGAATGGTCAAAGATGCTGAAGGTTTATTCACGCTTTTATTTCAAGCTGACTTGATTACTGCAATCCACTTTTTACTGGACTCCTGAAAAAAACCACTGAGAGACTTCAGCTCATTCGAAACTCTGCAGCTCAGCTGTGATCCAGAACCAAGAGGAGAGAGCACATCAGTCCAGTTTAAGATCTGCTAATTTTTTTTAATGTTTTATTTTTTATTATTATTTATTTTCAATTGATTTCTTATAATTTCTTATTTTTCTTATTCCACAAAATTTGTTGTTTATTAAAATTCAATTTGTACCATGGATAGAAACCTGCATCAAAACATACAATTATCTACTAATTATCTATGGTACAAAATAAATTTCATTTTCAAGATAGGAGTAGAAGATCACTTCTTTGGTTAATATTCAAATTTTCAGTAGTGCCACTAAAACCTCTTAACAAACATTTGGTAACAGAATAAGAAACATAATCATCTTGGCAGAGAAAATAATGAACCATTTCCAGAGCAAATAGTTTTCTTTAGTTTGATGGAGACAAAACGTCCAGCACAAATAATTCAAAGTCAACTAAAACATCAACATTTTTGGTTCTGGGTGATGAATGTATCCCATTGTCACTTTCACTCATATTTAACACTCATTTATTTACATACTGATAATGACATATATAAATACAGTCCATTTAGTTAAGGGGATGTCCTCCTGAAGATACAACTGGAGGTTTGCTGACTTTTACCACTAGGTGTCATCCAACAAAGATTTCAGGTGAAGCTCTGATGAATTCAGAAACTGACAAATGGTCTGAGTGAAGCAGACGAGGATGAATCAGCAGACATGTATTACATCATTTACATCCTCTCCTGAGCTTATTATCTGCAGTCTAAATAAAAGATCAAAACTTGACTTGATGCCCCTTCAGAGCACTGACAGGTAAATACTGTAAGAGCAAAGTTAATCAGTGGTTGCCTACCTGTGGTTCTGGATACAACATGAGTCATATCTGGGAAGCAAAAGGAAAATAGATTTAGCCTATTATATGCAAAGGAAATCAGGTTGAATTTAAAACAGCATGCAAAGAGGGTTTGCACGCAGACACCTTTAAGACGCCAATAAACCTTAAAGCAAAGACAGTGTCTCTCTTTTTGTTCACAAAAACTGTGATTTCAGCATCAGTTCTAATGATTGTCCACAGATGTAAACTGAAAATATACGTTTAATGCAGCTCTTAAAATTGAGTTCAGAGGGAAGTTACTTTACAATGTATCCACAGTTTAAAATGGAAGCAAGCCCAAAGCTCTGATCAACAAAGCTTCAGAAAGCTTCTGCAGGGTCCTGTGATCACAGATTTCCCCTCTAACATCTTTGTTGTTTACATGTTGATAAGGAAAGTGACAGCAGCCTGTTCACTTTATAACTTTCTTCTCTAGTCAGCCAACCCTCCAAACGGTGAAATAGTCACTAGGTGGCGATGTAGTTTTAAATATCTGAGCAATCACATATTATTCAGTCTTTATAGACAGACACCAGACTAACTTACAGTGAGGTAATGGTGCCAAATTTGTCCAGCAGTGGTCGCAAAAGTGAAGTCAGGGGATATCCAGATATAAGCTGATATTAGAAAAAAATTTAAATTCCATTAATTGAATTGAATTTCTTCATCTTCATCCTATGAGGCATGACATGAAATACCATTTTGCAGATCAATAGTTTAATTTGATTTCACTGCAGGTGTATTTTTTAAAATTTAATTTAATGTTATTATTTTTATTTTATTTAATCTAATTTTCCTCTAAAATTACCCAGTGCTATCGCAACTACACCCCTCGCTCTCCATTAAAAAAAACGTGCTTCATCAGCTGAAGGCGGCGCTAGGCGGAGCCGCGTTCACGTCCCTCCAGGCGCGCTCCCGCGACGTGTCTGCCTCAGTAGCAGCAATAGCAGCAGCAGCAGTTCGTTGTATGAAGTTGAGGCTCTCCGGCGGTGTGCTGCGGTTCTCTGCTGTCACTTTCCTCTGCCCCAACATGCGTCTCCTCCTGCTGACGACATGGGATTTACCCGCTCTGAGTGGAAACTAACCGCCGGCTCTGCTGCTGCTTGTGTCCGTGTTTTGGTCTCCATCAGCTGGGGTAAACGTGCAGCGCGAGTCTGAGCGTTTGTACCAACACCGAGCTGCTTTTTTTTTTTTTTTTTTTTTTTTTTTTTTTAACCTCTTTAATTCATTTTCCTGTCGCTTCATTTATGGACAACAGAAGCTCCGAGTGAGACTTGATAATTTCCGTTCACAGCTGAAGATGGAGACAGTGATGGAGAGAGAGTGCAGCGCGCTGGGGGGGCTTTTCCAGACTGTCATCGGAGACATGAAGGTAACACGAAGGAACATGATCATTTCACCTGATTTATGATTAAAATCAATGTCACGCGCACATGAAGTAACTATTCAAGGCAGGGCAGCTGCAACACGCCCTGCAAGTCTCTGTTGATCCTGTTGCACACAATCAGGAGTAGCCTGTCGCTTTATTGGAGATTTCCAGACGTAATCATTAATTTGCTAATTATTCAGGGGGTTGTGTGGAAGGAGAAGGGGAGAGGGAGAGGGAGAGGAGTGGGTGTGTTCAGAGAATGACTCCAGCTTCATCCTGGTAACCAAACACAGCTACAGGCACCTGACACATCAGAGTGAGTGACAGTGAAGTGAGCAGAGTTGAAAAACCAGGAATATCTGACAGGGTTTTTAATCAGGAGAGAAAAGTTAATGACCAATGATGGAGTGATGTGGATTTAATTAATCTGATCCACCTGTTAACCAAGAGAAACTTGCTTTGAAATACTTGTCAATCTCTAAAATAAAACTAAGAACTTGCATCTACTGTAAATAAATAATCACTTAGTCAAATACAGTAGAACATTTTGCAGATAAATGTAGTTTTTGGAAACATAAATGACACAAGCTGAACCGATTTAATCGATTGGTTGATCGACAGATAATAAAGCAGCAACTACTTTGATAATCGATGAGTCATTCCTTATTTTACAAGAAAAAATTTACCAAAATTTTCTGCTTTTCTTCATCTGACATGATCCTAAACTGATTTTTTTGGATGGTGATTAACATTTTCCACCATCCTTCGACATTTCACAGAGAGGGTGATTAATAAAGAAGATAGTTGACAGATTATATGATCATTAAAGTCATATTTAATCGATTAAAATGCATGATTTTGAATATCAGATATTGGTAATTAGTCTGGAGGGATGGGTCAGTTTATTGTTTTGGACAATAGTAACTTCTGTTGCTCTCCAGTGTTTGTTTTGCTGTGCCAGAGACTGGCAGGTAGTAGCATTTTGTGTGTGTGTGTGTGTGTGTGTGTGTGTGTGTGTGTGTGTGTGTGTGTGTTGGGGGAGGGGCACCGTGTAGCCACACACATGGACACCTGTTTGTACGGTGACATAATAACAGACAGGTGGTTTGCACTACGCTGCCACACCCCTCTCCTCCTCATTCTCTCTTCTTTTTCCGTCTTACTTCCCTCCCCTTTCCTTCCCATCGTCTTCCTCCCCTTTCTTTCTTTCTCCATTTGTTCTTCCTGTCCTCCACCTGTTTTGTTTCTTTTACCTCGTCCACCCTCTGCTCCTTCTCTTCCTCCTCCTCTCCATCTCTGCTCTTCCTGCTCTATTCCTCCTCCCAGTCTTCTTCTCCTCTTCCTTCTTGTTTCTTGACCTCCCCTTGTTATCCTCCCCTCCTTTCCCTTTTCTTCCTCTTCTCCCCTCTTCTGCTTCTCCTTCTCCTTTCCTCCTGTCCACCCCAGTTTCTTATTCTTCATTCTCTTTGTCGATTTTTTTCCCTCTTCCTCTTTACACCCTGCCCTTTTTGTTGTTGTCCTCTTTTTCCTCCTCCTAACCCTAACCACCCTAACCCATCCTCCCTCTCTCCCTCTACCCCTCCTGTTTTCCTTCTCTTCCTACAATTCCTCCTCCACTCCTCTCTCCTTTCTTCTTTCATTTCCTGCTTCTCTCCTCCCTCTTCCTTGCCTCTTCTTTTTCCTCTCTTTCGTCGTCATTTGTCTCCTTCTCCTTCTATTTCCCATTCTTCCTCCTGCACTTCAGACTCTTTTCCTCTTTTCTTCCTAACCTCTCATCCTCTCTCATACAGCTGTTCTCTTGCAGGTGAGAAACAATAAAACAGGTGTACCTGGTTTTCTACTCAACTGTACAACAACCTCGTTTTTAAATATGAATTCACACCTGTTGTCCTTACCTGTTGTGTTTGAGCTGCGAGTGATATCATGCCTCAGTGAAGCCTATTGTTTAGTGTTTCATTCATCAGTGTCGCGCGTCATCCAAGTTGAAAGTTCCAACATTGTGCTGTTTCCGACCTGCATTGTCAAGAGTTCATCCGTCAATCAAACGTTGCAGGCGGGAGTGAGAAGTCGTCTTCCTTTGATTTACTGTCATAGCTCTTTGACTATTTCTGTAGGTGGCGCTCTTTTCTCGGCCTGTTCAGACTTGTTGGCTACCGGTGCTAATGCTATCCGCTACTACCACCTTCTGCCTTTAATAGTGAGCAATGACTGTACTTAAAGATGGACGATGCGTCTCCACTTCCTCCTACTGTACTAAACTGAAGCCAAATTATCCTGGATACGAGCGCTGCCATCTTGAGCTGGAGACATCATTTGGAGTCTGCACAGTAGAGATCGAGGAGTGGAGCAACAGTATCGAGGCTCCGCCCATACACATGCTCAACCCAATCACAAGTCAATTCAGCTGTCAAATTTGATGTCACACTCCTGAGTTATGACAACAAATAACCAATTAAAACCCAAACTTATCTGAAGAATAAACACTTGAAAAAACATCATTGAGATAAGAACTACCTTAAATGATCACATGACAGAAACCATCTTTGAGAAAAATCTATTTGACATGTAGCCTACTTTGGTTTGTTATTTTGACTCATGTCCCATCCGCTAACATGGAGGGGGCGGGGTTTATTTTGCTGCAGCCAGCCACCAGGGGGTGATGGAGATGTTCTGGCTACACTTTTGGGGAGCTGTGATGTCGTCCATCTTTATATACGAACAGTCATTGATAGTGAAAATAGCTTCTGCTTCTTCAGTGCTCTCCAACCTTTATGGGTTGTAAGCCCCTTAAAAAATGTGTTAAGTAGAATTTTCAGTGCAGAATTTTTATATGGTTTTACTGGTACGTTTACTTTAGTAAATGACTGGAGTAGGACTACTTCTTTCACCTCTGCCATATTCTTTATCTTTAATCGCTGACTGGATAATCTAGATAAAATAATATGCAGCTGATTCATACATGTGACTCGCAGACAGTCAGACAGGTTTTTCCTCCATTAGCATAGATGTGTGGGTGGAGAGAGATTTCACTGTGTCACTGTGGAGCAGACTCCAGTCTGCTGCTTCTAATTGTCTTTTACAACCACAGGTTTGGTCTGTGTTTGTACATTCAGCCCTTATTCACCCTCCAGCCCTCATGTTTCATTAAATCATCACAATGAGGAAATGTTCAAGCCACTAGGTGAATGAAGGCAGGTTAAAATGTCTGCTTGTCCGTCAGTAATCATAAGGCTGTTCTCACAGATGAGATGTGAAAGCTTCTTTTTCCACGGCAGGAACTTAAGAACCCAAAACATGTGGTTCCTCAGAACATGTAAGAACCTGTAAGGCTTTGGTGCTCGGTACTTCCCTTGTTCACTCTATTTTACAGACGAGAACATTTTGACATTATGGATAAAAAGGCAAAGACAGGACTGACTGTGGCTTTTTTTATCTGCTCTTTGGTGGAGAAGTGAAGGAAGTGATTGAGGGACATTCAACTAATGAAGTGGCACTGATATAGATATTGATTTTCCTTCATGTTTATACAAACATAAGATCCAATTTAATGTGTCCGTCCCATCAAACCATTTGTTTTCTAGTTTGCTCACCTGTGTGCATAATTTTGTGTTTTATATTTTCATTTTTTTTCCTCAGTTAATACAGGTGTAATAAAACTACTGTTCTCTTTCTTGTAGTTGTCCTTGTTGTGATGTCAGGACTCGTCTACTATCAACCAAACTTTCACAATATTTCTCAAAATGATCTAATTTACTATGATTTCTTAAGAGATAGATTGCTTTAATGTCTTTTGGTTGTGAATTACATAAATGATAATCTGACTGTTAGACAGGAAACTGTGCTGCTGGATGTGTTTGTACAGGGCACAAGTTTCATCATCTGTTATCAAGAAAAATCTGTTATGTTAAAACAACCATCTCTTTATATAGTCAGTATACTACAGCTGAAATGATTGGTTGAATAATCGATTGGCAGAATGACAGGAAATTAAGTGGCAAATATTTTTCATTGTTGATTTATAATTTCAATTATTTTTTAAGAAAAAGTGAAAAAAATGAACTTGTTCCTTCTTCTCAGATGTGAAGATGTTGGTTTTCTTCTCTGATAGCGAAGTAAAGGTTTTGGACGTTGGGATGGATAAACCAAACAATTTAAAAACGTCAACTACGATTCTGGGAAATTTCGACCGTGGCATTTTTCATTAGTTTTAGATTGAGTGATCAGCTGGTTAATCAAAAAATTACAGACATCATCGTTAATTGATAATCTTCAGCATATAAGCGTTTCATTTTGAAAATCACACAAAACACGCTTAATTAAACCGACACAAACAGAGAAAATTTATGTCTTTAATAGAAAATAACCATGTGAAGACACTAAAACAAGAGGGTACACATTTGACAGCAACAATACATCACAGCGCCACCTAGTGTTGCTTCGAAAAGTACTTTGATATCGAATCCTCGTTGGAAACTGGTCCTTGTTTTCTCTGTCTATGTAACTGCACATGATGAGACTGGTTTTGATGAAATCGAGAGCACAGGATGCGTCTCACAGGTTCCTTCACTTCAATCGTTGCCATTTCTTCTCCTCAGAATATACGTTTCCTCTCTGCAGGTCTGCTACACCTGGGGCCAGTGTGCTGTATCCATACTGTATGTATAGGCCTAATTGTCGAGTGTGTCTGGCCGCGTGCTGTTCATCATCCGCACGTCATTGTGCTGGTTAAATTGAAGCAGACACATTACTGTTGATCCGTTTAAGTGGAACCGATCTGCATGTTTTTCCCTGGAGGAGAAACTGGCTCATCCTCTTACGCTGTGAGCTGCTTTACGCCGAGTGCCACATCTGCCTTTTCCCTCGTCTGACGAGTCACTGCACCGAAGCTTTAGATCAGTGTGCTGACATGCCTGCTGTAGCGTCGTCACAATGTTTAAAGCGGCATCAAATAATTTTTGCTCTTCAATGGGGAGAAAGAAAGCTAGTGTGTCTGCAGAATAACC